TGTGTGTGTGTGTGTGTGTGTGTGTGTGTGTGTGTGTGTGTGTGTGTGTGTGTGTGTGTGTGTGTGTGTGTGTACAGGTTTTTCCCACAACATGGGGAAAATTTCCCCAAAAAAGCAGCCTCGTGGGGACAGAAGTGCATCGTGGGGACCAATGCCCGGCCCCCACGGGTCCAAATGCAAATTATGGGTTGGGGGTTAGGTTTAGGACCAAGGTTTAGGTTAGTTTTAGGGTCAGGTAAGTACCTGGGAGGTTAATTTTAGGGTAAATGTTCAGGGTTAGGCTATAAAGTCTAAAAAAATGAATGRAAGTCAATGCACTGTCCCCACGGGGTTGAAGAACAAACATTTGTGTGCGTGTGTGTGTGTAGGTATTGTGCATTTCCTTGCCAAATACCTCAAATAATTTTAGGTAGCAATTCATAACAGATGTAACGAAGCAGAAGTTCAGCAGATCTTTTTTTTTCTTAGAGCCAGCAGACCTTTRAAGCAATGTTTTTAGTGTGAGAGTCCAAAAAATACAGAAATCATTTGCGTATTGTGTGTAYATTATGAAATATTTTGTTTAAATAACTTGCAAAGGTATTATTCAAAATAAACTAGCAGATTTTGCATGTACCAAAGATGAGTCAAGCATATTGTGAATTAGTTGCATTGATGAGTACAAAGAATAAATATTTAAATAGTGTTATTAGTACCAAATCTGCAAAAGACTAAATGCATTACATTACTCAGTATACATTTAGTCTGATTTGACTTGATGTGTCAAATAGGTGTTTTTAAGTTAAAGTGAATGAGTCAGACAGCCTGTAGTTATTTTTATTAAATAAAAAAATAATAAAAAAAACATGTACAATCTACACAATGATTCTCAGACACACGAGGTGACCGTAAATAAAATCTTCTGATTCAAACGGAATTCCCTTTCCTCCAGCGCCACCTAGTGCTTCATTTATTTTGTTTCTATGTAGGAAAGTCGAAAACTGTTGCATTTATTCAGCGAAGAGTTGAAATAGAAATAGAAATAGAAATAGCCTTTATTGTCCTGCCGAGGGGAGATTCAGGTGTCACAGTAGCATCAGTACCGAGGTTCACACACTAGTTATTTTACAAACTATAGACAGTGCACATAAAACAAAAATTAACACTGACTAGCCACGATATGACTACTAATAATAAAAATATATTATAAACAATTGTTCAATGACAGAAAAAGTTATGTTTTGTCCTAGAGACAGTAGACTATCAGAATCCGACATTAGGGTTCAGAAATTGCCTGTTTTCACTGCAAAATAATCTCAACAGACTATTAACTGTAAAGTGAAGTATCACAATACAGTCAAGAAACACAGATGTGCAAATACAACAGAATTATTTTTTTAAGGTTTAAACGGGTACTAACAGCAGGTGATTGCTCAGATTAGTAATAAAAATGAGTAGCAGTGCAAATGATTGTTCAGTTGAGTAATTACAATGAATAGTAACAGTACAAATGATTGTGCAGGCAGCAGGTGTGTAAACACTTATAGTGATTTTTGTAAACACTAATTGTGATTTTTGTAAACACATTGTGATTTTTGGGCATGATGCTGGTTATAGAGTCTGACAGCTGCTGGGAGGAGGGATCTATGATAAAGCTCCTTTGTGCACCTCGGATGCAGCAGTCTGTCGCTGAAGGGGCTCTCCAGTTCAGCCACAGCTTCATGCATGGGGTGGGAGACATCGTTCATCAATGATGTTATTTTAGTCGAGTTCTTCTGTCTCCCACCACCTGCACTGTGTCAAGGGGGCATCCCAGCACAGAGCTGGCCTCCCTGATGAGCTTATCCAACCGCTTCCTCTCATCTGTAAGCTGCCGCTCCAGCTAACCACCCTGTAGAAGATGGCTGATGCCACCACAGAATCATAAAATGTCTTCAGGAGCACCCCCCCCCCCCC